TTAAAATTATAATCATATTATAGGTATTTCTTACATAATCAACATGCATTTCCTAAGATGATTTAAATCTCGAGATAAGAATTTCTGACCGGTCTTATATTAATTCTACAGTTTACTATATTATCATTTACAATTTATCATCAGCTATAACAAATTACAAATGTATATATATATTTTTAAATAAAAATTTATTACAAAGATAATAAATTGTAAACGTGTAACGTTATATGAGTTTAAATAATTTTTAAAATGTATTATTAATGATACGAGAAATAATTTTCTTTCTTCCTACGCGTATCATGTAAAATATTTTAAAAACGTAATTGATTAATATACTATAATTGTCGAATGATATGTCACTTCTATAAAATTACTTGTGATTATTTCGGAAATAAATAACAAGTTGTTATCTTTTTGGCTATGTTGGTTACGACGTGGTTACGTGGCTTTATTACTAATGTAATATTAATATCTAAATCAATGATAATACGACATGATATTTTTTTTTTTGTATGAAAAAAAATATGATTGCCAAAAAATTGTACGTACAAATTAATAAGATAAAAAATGATTTGAGGACAAGACTAACAAATATATTTCTTTCTTATTGAGATACTTACGATAACTGACGAGTTGATTAAATGATAAAATTGTGCACGACTATAAAAGAGGGTTCTTCAAAAACTCTTCTGTTAGTTCTATTAAAATTTTGAAGTGTGAAGTAATAAGATATAGATATACTGTTTAGAGGTACACAGGTAAATTCGTTTCGCGATGAAAGGTAAATTAAAATATCGTTAGACATTTATCGTCAATATATTTTATTTTATATTATTTTTTATACGAATTAAATAATATTATAATTGTGCATAAAAAAAATCTCTACTCAATTATTATTATTATTATTATCAATTCAATTCAATTAACGTTCAAGATTTTACAAATTATAGAATACTTCAAACGTTTTTATAATCGTTTAATAATGTCGCGTATTATCTTTATTAAAAGAAAAAAGAAAAATTGGATAGTAAAAACATTAAAAACAAATTTTAAAATGAAACATAGTATGACTATCTCAAAAATATCAATTTTATTACTCAATCAATTTATTTCCTTGATAATCGTGTATAATCACGTGTACGGTGTATTGTGAAATAGAATTTGATAAGAAAACAATTCTAATTAAATTGTTGAGCGATAATAGAAACTCCGTTAAGATCTATTGAATAGATTTAAGAATTTATTTGTTAAATTTTGTCATTATCATTAGTGATCGTTATCGTTAGTGATACAAATGTATTATTTCATTAATTTTTAGGAAGTTACAGTTGGATTGCAATATTTGCAATCATCTTAGCAGTAATAGGTGTAGATGAAGCAGCCAAGTTGACAAAATTACCAAATAAATATTCAAATAATTATTCTCGTTATGTGTGTGAAGAAAATACTAAAGAACCTCACGAGAGTAAATGCAACATATATTATAAGTGCATAAATAAACAATTGGTCTTGAAGGAATGTGAAAGTGGATTACATTGGGATAGAACGAAGAAAGTTTGTACAACGCCTGACAAAGCAGATTGTCCAAATAATTATCTTAAAGTTTGCAAGGAAGGTACTTACAAACCCAATAGTAAAGAATGCGACAGATATTACAAGTGTGAAAATAGTCAATACGTTTTGAAGAGTTGTAAAGATGGATACCACTGGAATCGAGAAAGTAATATTTGTACCGATCCAGAAGACGCGGGTTGTTCTACTGTACCACTTCCTCCTCCAGTCTGCGAGGAAGGTTCTTTTAAACCTCACGAGAGTAAATGCAACATATATTATAAGTGCATAAATAAACAACTGGTCTTGAAGGAATGCAAAAATGGATTACATTGGGATAGAACGAACTATATTTGTACATTACCAGAAAAAGCCAAATGTCCAAATTATCATCCTAAGGTATGTGATGAAGGTTCATACAAACACAATGACAAGGAATGCAACAGTTATTACAAATGTAAAAATAATCAATGGGATCAAAAACAATGTCCAAATGGAATGCATTGGAATCGTGAACATACAATTTGTACAGCACCCGACGAAGCTAAATGTCAAAATGACTGGTGTAGAGATGGTTCTTACAGACCCCGTGAAGATCTATGCGACAGTTATTACAAATGTCAAAGTAATCAATGGATTAATAAACAATGTCCAACTGGAATGCATTGGAATCGAGAACACACAATTTGTACATCACCCGACGTAGCAAATTGTCCAAACTATCCCAAATGTGAGGAAGGTTCATACAAACCCAGTGACGACAAATGCGACAGATATTACAAATGTAAAAATAATCAATGGGATCAAAAACAATGTGCAAATGGAATGCATTGGAATCAACGACATACAATTTGCACGTTACCCGATGAAGCAAAATGCCACGATGATGATTCTGGTTTGTGTAAAGAAGGTTCTTACAAACCACATAATAAAACGTGTAACAGATATTACAAATGCAAAAATAATCAATGGGATCATAAGATATGTCCAACTGGAATGCAATGGAATCAAAAACACTCAATTTGTTTATCATCCGACGAAGCAAATTGTTCAAACAATTTGTTCAATTTTTAATTCATGATAATATAATCTTATTATGACCCATTGATAAGAAATAAAAGATTGACATTTCAAATGCAACAATAATCAATTCTCAATCGGAAACATTTTTAAGCTGCCATTATTCGAGACACTTCTTCTGAGAAATAAAAAAATAAAAAAAAAAAAAATAAAAAGACAAATTAACATCTGATGAATGTCGATTAAATAAACATTTATTTAATTTTAAACTTATTCTATATTTGCAATTTAAATAAACAAGAATTTGCAATTACAGTTTGAATTTTTTGTATTAAAATAAAAATCATAAAAAATCATATTTATAATACAACCCATATATAATCCTTGATTATTTCCTTTCTTTTTTCTTTTTTTTTTTTTTAATATTACCTATGATAATTCTTTTATGACATATGAAATTATTTATTTTATATTAATACAATAGCTGACTATAATTACTTATATAATGCAATCAGTGTTATTTAAAATCCTACACCGTTACGTTTATTAGAATTTTGCTAGATAAAATCATTAATAAATACGGTCTTTTTATTATAAAAAAAAATTTTTTTTTAAATTAATATATATTAAAATATACTAATTCGATGAATATAATTTACAAGCTCCAATTATACTAAATGAATTAAATAAATACGAGAGTAATGTACAGAAAACACCTATTATTATTACAGCCTTTCACATGATAGATTAACTATTTTTCAACCCTTCTATATGTAGTAGACACTGTAAATTTTTATTATATATAAATATTAGTTTCATTCGTTCAATACAAGTATGAACAAATCTTGATGCAATCTTTCAATAATCATGACCTAAATTTGCATTTCTATGCATTGGCTCAGAACTTTTCAGTCCATTTTTACAAAATTTACAGAAAACATTTTTATTATACGTAGGTATTATTTTTAATTATTTACTTTGACGATTAATTTTACTTCGAGAATAATACGTGCGTTATCGAAATGTATTTTCTTTCATGATAACTGAAATTTTATGATAAAAATAATTTACCAACCTTACATTCATTCTACAGTTAGCTGCATTATCAACAATTAATATACCATTATCATCTGCTGTTATAAATTATATATAAAAAAAAAATTAATTAATTTTAAAAATTAAAAAAACAAGTATTGCTATTAGTTGAATTTGCTATAATTGAAAAAATTATTAAAATTTGTTAAAGTATTATTACAACGATAAGAAAAATAACATTTCATTTTAAATGTAATTAATTATTGAAATACTTTGATAATAATTTGATAATAATTATGATCATAATATTAAATAAAATATCTCTATTATTATTTATATTATTATATCATCAAATAATGTGAGACCATTAAGAAGAAAATATTCTAGAATAATATAAATAAGATCAATTTAAATTCTATGTTTCATAATACTCAGTGGTAACTTTTTATTTTATACCTAATCTATATATATATATATATTAAAAATTTCAAGATCATTGATGATTAATCAGGAAATTAAATGAAATGAAAAAGAAAAAATAGATAGAAAAAAAAAATAGAGCTTTTACTACAACAGGAAATTAACAACATTCGATATTACGTTTATTAGATTATTATAAATGATATAATATATTAGTTATGTTATTAATATTGTTGTAGAAAGTTCTATCGATTTGGTATCATTTATATATACTTCATACGTATCATCACAAATATTATATCATATATTTTTTAATAATTAATTGTTATCTTTAAATATAACACACACACACACAACATACATGCAGCACAAGTTTGTTATTAAATAAAAAAAAAATTAAAAAAAAGAATTTATTTTTCACGATTAAGAATTGTTCGATAATGTTTGAAAATAAGACAGAAACAACGGTAGATTCCATTAAAATAATAGAAATCAGTTAGTTAACTATGATGAAAGGCTCTTCAAAAGATAATTGATAACGTTTAATTGTATTTGTACAAAATGCAATGTTACACTTGTATTCTCATTCGTTCTAAGAAATAAATGATATAATAAAATGTTTCTGTCATCCATTTTACAAGATTATTTTTTTAAAGGCATCAATGATAACGAACGAGTTGATCAATTGATAAGCTTTGGTATGACTATAAAAGAGCTTCCTTCCTAATCACTATTATTAGTTATCAAATTTTCGAGCGCGAGGTAGTGACATAGGTGACAACTTCTAAAAGTACACCTATCAATTCGTTTCACGATGAAAGGTGAGTCTACCTATCATTTCTTTATCTCTTTTTTTTTTTTTTAATTCTTTTTTACAAATTATTATTAATTAATGATACCTAATTTTCTATTAATTAAAACAATTAAATTATTCGTTATAATTTATAAGATTTCAAAGATTATAGATGCACCTTTGTAAAGTATGTCCAATATCGGTGTATACTAATATCTTTTAATGAATAGAAAATAATATGTTATATTATCATTTGCATATGAAATGTCATTTAATAAGATATTTTTTGTCATTACAATTATTTAAAGTTTATTTTGAATTATATTTAAAACGTTTACGTTAAAAAGTACAGTACTTCCTTACCATACTTATTATTATTTCTTTACAATCATCATATACGCGTACGGTGTATTGAAAAATAGTTTGATAACATCATCAATGATTTACGATCGAAATGTATTTGATATTAATTTTGTTTGTTTAGAAGGCTTATGGTTGGTCGCAATAGCTGCAACCATCCTGGCTGCAGCAGACCTAGGAGCAACCCATCAACATCAAAGAACAATACCAACGGAATGTCCTGCCGATGATCCTTTCGATACAACGGTTCTTCTAGCTCATGAATCAGATTGTAGCAAATTTTACGTTTGCTTTTTAGGGGAAAAAATATTGAAAGATTGTCCTTATGAAAACAATAAAGGCGATCGGCTACATTTTAATCCATTTAAACAGGTTTGTGATTATCCAGCTGATGCAGGTTGTTTAACGCCCTCAATATCGGGTAAAAAACTAATAACGCCAGCAGCTAAGCAACTAACCAACAAAGCAGATACTAAATTAACACCGCTAGTAACATTACTAACAACGCCGCGTAACATACCATCGTCATTAATTAACTCATCAAATGTAATCAAATATAAACCACATCAGTGCGAATATAATTTATATTACAAAATTATCAATGGTAATGAAATACTTGATCAATGTGAAAATAATTTCCATTGGAATCAAGAATTGGAAGACTGTTACAAACCAGATGAAACGGAATGCACGGCAAAAGGAATCTCGGTGACATATTTAGAGTTACCATTTGACGTAAGTTGTATCGATGGAGAATTTTATATCCATGAGTGTAGTTGTGTCCAATATTATCAATGCGTTTCTGGAAATAAAGTTTTGAAATCATGTGAGAAAGGATTGTATTGGGGTCAACAACAAAGAAAATGCACGACTCCAGAGGAAGCCAATTGTCCACACGAAAAACCAAAAGAGTGTACGGAAGGTTCAACCAAGCCACATCCATGTGAATGTAACTTATATTATAAGTGCATAAATGGTCAATATATTTTAAGGGAATGTCCCGATGGATTGCATTGGAGCAAGGATCGTCAAATTTGTACAACGCCGGAGGATGCCAAATGTATCAAAATATGTGA